GTCTTCATCATCCTCTTCTTCCGCCTCGCCCTCATCTTCATCCCCCCCATCCCTTACCGCGGGGGCGCCCCCTCCCCCCCCCCCCTCCAAGAGCTTCTCCTGCTGGTCCCCGTTGTTCAAGCCCGCCGCACCCGCCGCCGTCGAGCCGTAAGCGCCGGCACTGCCCCCGGTGGCCGCGGTGAGCTTGCCGCTCTCGTCCGCCGCCGCCACCGCCGCTCGCTTCGTCAGCAGGCGGTTGCGGGTCGGCGTGTTGCTGGCGGAGCGGTCGAGCTCGTCGGACCCTAGGTCGGAGTTGCCGCTCGTGTACTGCGGCGGCTCCTGGGGGGCGGGGGCGGGGGCGGGGGCGGCGGAGAGAGAGAGAAAGAGCGGCGGCGGCGGCGGCGGCGGCGGCGGTGGGCATTGGTGTGGGTGAGTGGGCTTCGTGTTGTGTTGTGTTGTGTTGTGTTGTGTTTGGGGGGGGAGTCATGTATGTTCTGGGGCAAACGAGAGCGCGCGGCAGGAGCACCCGGCAAGAGGTGGGTTGATGGGGGAAGGTATCATCACGTCCAACGAGACCCAAAAAAAGGGGGTGGGTGGGTGGGTGCGGGCGGAATCCACAGCAGTCCTTCCTTCCACCATCTTGAAATAACTCCAGCGTCCTACACACCGCTGCAGGCGTTCAACGCACTGGTGCCCACACATTTTGTTGATACCTCAAGTAAACGACGGCACCCATCAGCCGAGATGGTGCAATGCACCGAAAGCAGAATACTAGCACGCCGTCCGCACGTGTCGCAACTTCTTGCAAGGTGCTCGCTTCACTCTCTTATCGCAGATCGTCATCTAACCAACACGAAAGGAATGTACCGTCCGCGTCGTAAAAAAAAGCACCCTTGAACTCGTCGCCACCAGTGTGCCGCACACACACAAACACACACGCACCGCACCAGTCTTCCGGCCACACCCCCACCAACAACTCTCCGCCGCCGCGGCACCCACCTGAAACTCGTACTGGATGAGGGCGCCCATGATCACCCACAAGACTAACATGATCCATCCCGGGTTGGTCAGCCCGTTGAACTGAACGCCGGCCAGGGTGAAGTCGGCCGCGATCAAAACCGCCGACAACGCCGGCCCGAAGGCCATGCCCAGGGCACCGGCCGCCACGAATGCGGCCGAGTAGGCGGTCCTGCGTGTGCCGACAGCAGCAGCAGCAGCAGCAATAACAGCATTGATTTATCATTGAGTCGATACAGCAGTAGCAGCACCCCACCAAAAAAAAAAAAGCACCAACAAAAACAAGCAGCCATTAGGAGGGGAACGCAAGCTTGATGTCGCGGTTTGGTGCGCCTGCCCCAAACGGAGGTACCAATGGCAGACGTTCTTTCGTACAAACGTAAGGTGCAGGGCTGTTTTCGGGGAATACTTGTTCGCAGGACACCAAATCATGAATTAATTCACCGCCAACATAAAACACCCTGCTTTGGTGAGACCAAGGCATGACTACCTCTGTCCCCCCCCCCCCCCCCCCCC